GGAACAGGCGTTCCCCATCTGCCATTTGTAGACAGTCCATTTTTATATCCTCTCATCATAGCGCCTCCTGCTCCTCCCCTGTGACTTCCAGAGTGCACTGAAACTCAGTGGGGCATGTGCGCTGAGGCCTGGGACCCACAAACTGATCCGGCATGTTCGAGGGCAAGGGGCCCAGTAAAATGGGTGTTTAGAGCATTTCTGTTCATTCTCTGCTGTCGCTGTCAGGTTCGTGTTGAATTCATGGACGACACCAGTAGATCCATCATCCGGAACGTAAAGGGGCCTGTCCGTGAGGGGGATGTCCTGACGTTGCTGGAATCTGAGCGTGAAGCAAGGCGATTACGCTGATCTACATGCTACAGCTCGGTAACTCATTTCATTTTCAGGCCGTAATTAAGCCCTTATTGTCTCTGAGATGTTAATCTTCATTGTGAATAAATTAAACACCCAGCCAGAATATTTTTTTTTTAAAGTGAGCTTCTGGTTAAGAAGCCAGAAAATCATTAGTTTGTCTAGGTCTAGAGCATGTGCCTGGGTTCTGAGACCCCTTCTCTGTAGAGTGCTCACGGATGTTTGCTTTGAGGCCATAACAACCTCAACACTAAGTATTTGAGTCTTGTGCTTTGTCTTGAAGACATAATAAGGTTAACCCTAAGGTTTGCTCTCTAGGGAGTGGTGCACGTTGCTTTACTGCATATAACTGTGACACGCCATGTGTTGGTCTGCACTGTAGCAGTGTTTACAGTGTGTGAACACAGCTGTGAAGAATTGAGTTAGCAGTCATGAGAACTGACCACAATTTGTCTGTCTACACTAACTGCAAAATCATAGTCGTTGCTTGTCATCTAACTCAGTTCTTCATAGAACGATGTTTTTCAGAACTGTTCAGATACAGTAACTTTTTGTAGTGTAGACAACAAAACAGATGGAACAATGAGATCCTGGTCCGTGCCTAGGGCTTCGATCCAGGCTGAACTTCAGGCCAAAGAGGAGCCGTATGTAATTGTTATGGAGTGCTCAGGTTCTGCTGGCTGTGGCTTTTCCTATGTGTAAACTGGAGAGCGCAGCCTGTTTCTGTAGTAGAATGTTCTACTTCTGGGGCTCAGGCATGTGTCTGGGCAATTAACTAGCTATTTTGAAAATGACCCAGAATATTTCCATTTATGTAATGATCTCCTGGCCACAGGAAGCTGTAACTGGTCCTCAAGTTTCGATGAAATACGGTGGGTGAGAGCAGGCAGGTGAAATCCTGAATTCCACTTACTGCAGTGACATGTGCAAATGCCCCATTAACCACGTTAGGGCTGTTTGGCTCCTGAACTAACTATAGGAGCAAAATGAAACTCTGATTTTTCAGTTATCTCTAGTCCCTCTTCCCCCCGCCTCCCCTCCCAAGTCTTGGAAGATAATGTAAGACTCAGATCTGCATTACACTTTCTTTATAGATGGCAAGCCTGATGCGACTACCATTTCTGATTTCCTGTAATGAAGAGGCGACAGTTCATACCTACTCCGCTTGACTTAGTGAAGAGGAATGTTGTGTTTCAGAGACTAAAATAAAGGATTTTTTTCCAGTAACATCTTTCCTTTCTTTCCTTTATTTAAGAAAAAAATGTTTGCTGAAACTTCATGCTGGAAGCCAGTGCATTTCTAAACATCCTCAGACTTCAGCAGTACCAAGACTGACAATATTCATGAACAAAAAAAGCTTTGAGACCATGGACTGTCAGGCATGAGATAATGAATGCTTTTCAGCTGTAATTAAGGCTAAAATTATGTCATGGAAGTCACAGAATCCATGACTTCCAGCGACCTCCGTGACATTGGCTAACCAGCCGCTGCCGGCAGCAGGGGACCCTACAGCAACCCAGCCTCTGCTGGGCAGCTGCGGGTGGCAGGACCCCGGCAATTGACCGGCCGTTGGTGACGACCCCTGAGCTGCCCAGCTGCTGCCACTGGCAGGGGTCCCCCCTGCAGCGGCTCAGCTGCTGCAAGCAGCTGCCCCAGCCCAGCCACAGCCACCAGCAGCAGAGGGACCCTGGAGCTGCTCAGCGTTGGCAGGGGGTCCTCCGCAGTTCCCAGCTCTGCAGGGTGGCAGGGGGACCTCCCAGCCACTGGGCAATGGAGTCCCTGCAGCTCCCAGCTGCTGGGTGGGGGTCAGGAAAGATGCTGGACCCTCCCTCAGGGACAGGTCATGGCTTCTGTGGGTTTTTTTATTGCCTGTGACCTGTCCATGACTTACTAAAAAAATACCCATGACACAATTGTAGCTTTAGCCATAATGCCCTTTGGGGGGGAGGGGGGAGGATTAGAGTTGTTTTATGTAGTAGCAGCTAGAGGCCTCAACATAGATCAGAGGCCCATTGTGCTAGGTGCTGCATGTGTACAGAGTGAATGATAGTCCCTGCCTTAAAGCTGCCCCGTGCCGGTCTTAAGCTAAGAGCTTCTGTGTCTGGGTAACTTGCACCAGTTGAACTGTGGGTGTGAGTTAGTTAAACCAGTGCAACTTTCTCAGAGGGACAAAATAAGGGGGCTTGGCTAAGGTCACCCCAGCAGAGCAACAGCTGAGCTGGGCCAAGAAGCCAGGTGTCCTGACTTTCATTTCACTAGCTCTTTCTGCCTCCTGTAGGCTAGGTTACCCCAGAGCAGTGGTTCCCAAACTGGGGTTTGTGAACCCCTGGGGGTTCGTGAAATGTTACAGGGGGTTCTCGGGGAAAAAAACTCCCTAATGGCGGACAGAGCTGTCCCTAGGGACCCCAGGCAGCACCGGGCCAGCAGCCTGAAGCCCCTGAATATCCAAGAGCTAAGAAGATCAAAGCCAGCATTTCTATCACACTGAGGAGATTTAAACGTCAAGATTCCTTATAAGAAATGGAAAGGGAGGTGGATATTTTTTGCTGTTTTTAAAATTAAATAGGCAGCTAGTATTGTTTTTAAAATTATTATGAAGAACAAGTTTAAGCTTTGTTGTAACGTGCGTTGTTTGCCTGGACTACTCAAGACCTGAATGCTTGTCTAGGAGGAACTCTTTGAGTTGTCTTCTTAAATATCTTCATGCTGTTTCATATCTGATACTCCTTGACGAAACATGGGAGCCTTGTCTTATAACAGGCTTATTCAAAGTGATACAAGCTACGAAAGTGAGATCTTGGAAGAGTGTTGCCATTTTCATAATGTAATACAAATTCTGTAATGATAAATAATAATTAATAGTGTGTAATAAGCATGTCATAAAAACACATTTTATATTTCCAAGATCACTGCTTTTATAATTTATACTCAGGTAAAGGAGAAAATCCCTGGAAATATTCATTTTTAGGAGGAGGTTCGTGAGACTTGACATTTTATTGAAAGGGGTTCACAAGTTGTTAAAGTTTGGGAACCACTGCCCCAAAGTTATCAGGACTGGGCCATTTCCCCCCATTCTGGGTACAAATACCTGCATCTTGACTGGCTCATCAAGAGTCTGTGCTTTTCTGGACCTGCCTCTTACAGCCAAAATATGCATGCAGGCCCCCTAACCTCTCACTGAGACTACTGTAGCCCTACTTGACAGACATTGCCCCATCCAGTCAATCGCTCTCCTGTTGATCCTATAACCTTCACCCCTCCCCTACATCAATTTCAAGCTGCTTCTGGCACACAAGTCCCTGCTTCCCACCTGCCCAGTCTCTTACTGAGGTGCCTCCATTAATGATGCCCCATTTGTTTATTTTCACAGCCATCGGTGCAGGCTTCCCCTCAGCATAGCCTATGCAGAAAATATCTCCCCTGAGCTGGCATATCAGGCTACTCCCTCTTATCTCAAGTTCCTTTTCTACCACGACATCCATAAAGAATGAGTTAGCCACAGCTCTGTCAGTGTATTTGTAATATAAAAACAAATCTCCCCTGGTTGTGCCCACAGCCAATGATCCTCTGCCTGATCTTGTTGCTGTGTCCCCCCCCCACCCTGTTTTGTCCCCTCCCTGTTATATGTCACTTAGAGCTGGGGCTGTATCTTTTGTGGCCTTATGATACTTATCCTGCTTTTGGGCACTTAAGGGGCCCATGTCCTGGTTCTGGGTCCACTCCGATCCACAAAGCTCCCACCCCACACCATAGACATGTAATGTCACTTGGCACCCAAGTTTTCAGGGTAAAAGTCTCCTCAGGGCATGTGGGCTGCTGCCTGTTAGATATCTGAATGCCTATCCCTTGCCTAAGCAATTCACAAAGCTGGGGAAGACAGACATTTGTCCACCTGTGTTGTGGGCAGGGTCCTGGCCGGTAGGTGTGCTCAGAGACTGCCTATTGGATTGGGTCGAGTTCAAACTCTAGCAGGAGGAGGTGCTGCTGCCACATTATAACTGACCCAAGCACTTGCCTGGGATGTGGGAGTCCCAGGTTCACTTCCTCCTGCTGGAAGAGGAGAAAGGCTTCAAAGAGGAGATCTCTGTAGGGTCCACTTTGGTCAATTTCATCGTCATAGGATTTTTAAAATAAATTTAACGATTTCAGATATTTAAATCTGAAATTTCACAGTTGTAACTGTAGGAGTCCTGACCCAAAAGTCACAAGATTATTATAGTCAGGTTGTGGTATTGCCACTCTTACTTCTGTGCTGCTGCTGGCGGCTGCGCTGTCTTCAGAGCTGGGCAGCTGGAGAATGGTGGCTGCTGTCCGGGAGCCCAGCTCTGAAGGCAGCAGCGCAGAAGAGTGGCATGATATGGTATTGCCACCCTTCTGTGCTGCTGCTGCTGGAGGGGTGCTGCCTTCGGAGCTGGGTACCTGGCCAGCAGCTGCTGCCACTCTCCAGCCATCTAGCTCTGAAGGCAGCGCAGAAGTAAGAGTGGCAATACTACAACATCCCCCAGCAATAACCTTGCAACCTCCCTTTGGGTTGAGGATGGACACACATACACAGTTTGAGAACTGCTGGTCTCCCCTGTGAACTCTATATAGCATAGGGTAAAAGTACACAAAAGACCAGATTTGACAGCTGTGAATTTGGTAGGGCCCTACTGATAGGTGCAGCGAGTGCTGAGTGCACAAATACCAAAGAGATGATGCTAGCACTTGAGCTGGCCTCCAATGTAACCATGTGGGCCTTAGTCTAACTAGCACATCAGGACGGAGCAAAGGGGCCAGGGATTGCAACTGAGAAATTAATTCATAGATTTTAAAGTCCGACGTGAACATTTTTGCTAGGCTGACCTGCCTAACACAGCTGAATATTTCACCCAGTGATTCCTGCATCCAGCCCACACCTTCTGGAATGCTGAATGGGGGAAGGCAGGCAGAACTGCTTCAGCCAATGCATAATAAACTTGGAAGAAATCAGGTGAAACAACAAGCTGTGGTAGCCAGCTCAGGTCCCCTTGTTCTGTAAAGTTCAGGTTCTGGACACCTCAATTGGAGGCGGCCTTAAATGGTTAAGGGGATGCTGATGGTACCTTGACTTGATTTTAAAATATATTTAACTTTACATTTTATTTATATTTTAAAAAATAAACAATATTAAAATATTAGCAAACAGACACCAGGCAAAAGCATTCTAATGGGTGATACATACAAAGCGAGTGTAATCAGCTGGGTTTCAGTACTAGAAAGTTGCTGTGAGCATCCCCCATCGACTTCACTGTATAGCAGACACAGGCCTGCTGCAACAAGCATGGGAGCCTCAGCCCAGATCCTTAAAGGTATTTAGGCACCTAACTTCCACTGAAATCAATAGGGATTAGATGCCCAAATACCTCCAAGGCTCTGGGCTTTTGCCCATCAGAAGAGCAGTTCTCAGATGCTATAAACTTGGCTCAGACAATAACAACTGGTCTGGGAGAGACAGGCTAGAACTGCTGGCTCTATACCAGTGATCCCCAAACTGTGGATCGTGCTCCCCTATGGGGGCGTGGACAAATGGCCAGGGGCTGCGACGGCGCCCTGCTCTGCCCCCACTCTCAGCCCATGGTCCCCACCCCCAGCCACGACTTGGCTCCCGGCTGGGGTGGGGGGAATGTGGACACATCCCATTACTGGTAAGCGGGAGGGAGAGAGGAAAAGTTTTGGGACCACTGCTCTATACTGATAACATGGAAGCAGTCAGTGGTAACAAACCCAGCTGTAAGCTCTCAAATGCTCCAGCATGGTTGTCCACTAACCCAAGGGCGTGTATGTGTGTCCTGGCCCAGCCTTTGCTGTTCTGAGCTCACACACCTGCTATGTGACGGGAAGGTTTTTCACAGAGCTGCTGGACAGCGTTGCTGTACACGAGAGGAGGCGATCACTTTTTCAAACCCCCTTACATTTTTCATGACCAAATATTCTGATTTTTATAGCTGGCGGGAGGCCCCTCCCAGAGTTAGTGAAACCTCACAGTGCAGTTGCTAGTACCATGCCCTGTAAGCGGAGTATGTTCGGCCATGCAGTGCGTTTAACACTGATTGACAGGTTCTGAGTCCTTCAGGAAGGGCCGAGTGAAAAATTGGGCTGAAAAGGGGCTAAGGACCAGATCCTCAAATGAATTTAGGTGCCTAACTCCCATATAAGCCTAAGTGAGCAGGCCCTCTTGGAATCAGGGATATCAGCCCATCCCATGCACAAGGGGCACTGGGAGGCCATGGACTATGATGTGTTGGATTGTGAGTGGAAAGGTGCAGTGCTGGTGTGAGGCCCACACAGTGTCTCCTGTGCGGAGATCAAGGGAAAGGAGTGGGTCTCTCCACCTGCTTTTCAGGCTGCTTCCGGAGGGCATAACCAAAGCTCCAGGCTAGAGCTTCTCAATGATTTTCAGCGGCTGGGTCCAGCTCCTGCCCCCGTGAAGGAGGTGGCAGGTTTCTGGGAGTGCCAGCCCTTTGCTCCCCCAGCTACTGGAAACTGGTGGGGTCACTTCCACTGTAGCTGAGCAGCAGAACCTAAAGCCCAGTTGTGACGTGTCCCAGGAAAGCCGTGCTCTGGTTTAGATAGTTGCTGTTACATTCCATGGGTGTGTCGCCCCCCCCCCCCGGCTGCATTCATCCCCAAGGACCTATAATCTTAGCTCTTCCCCTCCCCGCACAAGCTTGGCTGCCCTGTCAGCTGCTACTTCCACTTTTCGCTCACTTATGTAACCTTCCCAGCTGCCTCTGGCTCCTCCCCACTGACAGGGCTGGATGGAAGGGCGGGTAAGGGGCAAAAGCTGCCAGATTCTTTAAAAGAGAGGGGGGGAAGTTCTAAAGGGAATTTCCCTGCCTCCCTCCCCCACCCCATTGGAGAAGGGGGCCGGCCCCAAGTGGGAGGAGGCAGTACCAGCTGTGGGCACTCCAAAAAAGCCCCAGCTGACCAGTCTGAGTGGATTCATGGGTATGGGGCTACCCCACTCTGGTATTCTAGCCACCTCCCGAACCAGTGCACTACAGCAAACACAAGAGCTAGTTCCTGCCAAGCTGATTAAACTAGTAATTTAATTTTTCCATTGAAACTTTTTAAACTAAAACACATTTTTTCATTAAAAGTGCAGGTTCTCCTACAGAAATGTCAGATTTTTTTGTTGAAAAACTGAATGCCTGAAAACCAAAGTATTTTGATTTGGAAATACTGCCATGGTGCCTCATGGGAGGTGTAGTTCAGGTGCTTCATGTCCCCATTATCCTCTGTGGGCCTGCCTCACCAGATGGACTACATCTCCCATGATGCACCCTGGCCACGGACTTCGCCAAGAGAGGAGGCTAGTGCATCATGGGAGATGTAGTCCAACAAGGGAGCACAGCCTATGTGCTGAGGCACAACTCCAGGAAGAGGTAGCATGATCTCTTGCAGGAACTGAGCGCCAGGTGCAGCCAGAACACAGGGCAGTGAGCAGTAACACAGCCACCTCCCAGAGTTATGTTTCAAATGCTAAATAAAATCCTTTCTATAAAACAGCATCCATTTCATAAAGTAGCAGAACAACAGGCGGTACCAGAAGTGGCCGGAGGGGAGAGCACTGTCTGGAGAACATTTAAAGGCAGCATGTTAAGGAAAGAGGGATTGTTTCAAGCAGCCTTACATCAGAGGAGCTCCCCCTTCTCCCTGCTCCCTAAACCCACCTCCTCTGCAACACAGGCAAAAAAAAGAAAGAATAGCATAAAGCCCCCACTGGAACTCAGGTTAATGGGGAACATAGAGGAATCCTGGACGAGGTTTAAACATTGTTTGTTCTATACATGATGGCAATAGATGCAGGCTCCTTGAGTGGAAGCCCAGAAAGCAGCCTCATTGCTAACTGTAGCTGGAAGGGAAGCTCTAGATCTTTTTAACAGCTTCTAGCTGTCCCCTGAGGACAGTGAAGATTTTGATAAGGTCTTAGCACAATTTCAGACTCATCGCATTCCTAGGAAGAAGGAAACTTAATTTTTTTCCACACGAGTGCAAAAGGAAAACAAAGGCATTGAGGATTACATCACAGACTTCAAGCATAAGAGCCAGTCTTGCATCTTTGGGCCCCTAAGAGATTCCTTGATTAGAGATAGGCTGCAATGATCTAAAGCTACAGGAATGTCTACTGAGAGACTGACTTAACTTTGGAGAAAGCCATAAACACCTGCAAAGCAACAGAATAGGCAAAATTGTAAATCTAGGCTTTAAGCAAAGAGGGTACCAGGGACATCGTGCAGGAAGTTACTGCATAGCAGGACAAGGAGATGCACACAAAAAAAGTGATAAACTGACACCAATCAAAATAAGAAAGGGCAAAAAAAAAATAATTCTGTGGAAGAGCCATTCCAAACAAATGTATGGGACGTGTGGAACCAAACTTGTGTACAAACAATGCCCAGCATTTGGACAGAAGTGCAGTGTGTGTCTCAAGTACAACCATTTTGCTAACCAATGCAGCCAGCAGCAAACGGTGGGTGCAATCCAGGAATATGGTGATAGCTCCAGTGAGGAGGCAGTGTATGTTGATACCCGACAGCTGCCAGAAGACAAGAACTGGTTCATCGCTCCTAATACTAATGGCTCACAACTCATATAATGTAGATACAAGATTGACACCAATGTACAACCAGCACAATGGTGGTGAACTTTAAAATATAAGACCCCACTGACGAAACAGGCAAACGTCCAGACAGCTCATGATGGACTCCTGTGGTGGGCTGATGCTGGCTCATTCTCACATGCAAGAAAGAAAAGACTAAGTACACCTTTCCTATAGGACACAGAACACCTATATTGGGCCTGGAATCAGGTCAACAGTTGGGACTAAGATGGAAGCTGATTAATACAGGGCACAACTTGTCGCAAGGCATCAAAACTTTAGTAGATACAGATACAGATGTGTTCAAAGGCTTGGGAAAATTGACAGTCACGCATAAAATAACTTTGAAGAAGGATGCAAACCCTGTTATACATACAGCCAGGAAGGTACCTGTGGCCCTGAGAGGCAGACTCCAGCAAGAACTGCCATGTCTCTAAGCCATGGAAGTAATAGAAAGGGTTGAGGAACCCCCAGACTGGTGATAGTACAAAAGAAATCTGGATCTTTGCACTTGTGTCTCAAACCCAAGGAATTAAACACTAACATAAGACGAGAGCATTATCACATACTGACCAAGATGAACTCTTGGGAGAGATGGCGGGTGCCAACATTTTCACCATTCTAGATCTCTTAGAGCTCACGGCTGTGTGCAGTACTTGTAACAGGAGTGTTACAAGATACTGCTTTGGCAGATACTGCTTCCAACGTCTACCTTTCGGAATTTGCTCTGTACCTGGAGTATTCCATAGAACGGGGTGGGCAAACTTTTTGGCCTGAGGGCCACATTGAGGTTGCAAAACTGTATGGAGGGCCGGGTAGGGAAGGCTGTGCCTCCCCAAACAGCCTGGCCCCCTCCCACTTCCCGCCCCTCTCAGAACCCCCGACCCATCCAACCCCCCCTGCTCCTTGTCCCCTAACCACCCCCTCCCAGGACCCCCCCACCCCTACCTGCCCCCCAGGACCCCACCAAGCCCCCCAGGACCACACCCCTATCCAACCCCCCTGTTCCCTGTCCCCTATCCACACCCCCCCCCCCTGACAGGCCCCCTGGGACTCCCATGCTTATCCAACCCCCCCCCCCCCACCCACACCCCCACCCTTTTCCAACCCCCCGGCCCCGGCCCCCTTATGCCGCTCAGAGCAGCATGTCTGGCAGCCGTGCCGCCCGGCCAGAACCAGACACGCTGCCCTGCAGGAGTGCCCAACCCTGCCGCCCAGAGCGCTGCCCGCACGGAGGCATGGCTGCGGGGGAGGGGGGACAGCAGGGGAGGGTCCGGGGGCTGGCCTTCCCGGCCGGGAGCTCAGGGGTGGGGCAGGGCAGGGCCAGATGTGGCCCGCGGGCCGTAGTTTGCCCACCTCTGCCATAGAACCATGCATGTTTACTGGATGGCACTGAAGGTGTCAAGGTTACATAATGATATTTTCAGCTGGGGCACTACAGAACAGGAACACTATGCAAGGCTTGCAACTATTCAGCAGCTTGCCAGGGACAAAGGATTGAAGTTGAACAAAGGAAATGGCCAGTTCATGAAGACAGAACTTCTCTGTACAGGGGAAATCTTGTCAGAAAGTGGTGTCAGGCCTGATCTAGGAAAAGCATCCTTAGGATGCCAAACCCAAAGCAAGCGAAAGACTTACAAAGGTTTATAGGTTTGGTGACTTGGCTGGGCAACTTCATAGATAACCTGGCTGATACAACAAAAAATACGAGAAAACTATTACTTAATGGTGTGGAATGGAAGTGGACTAGAGTGCATGAAAATGAATACAGCAAACTTGGATAGAGAGACATGCAAAAGAAGGGCATGGGAAGCACTCGATTGGCCAGGCATGAATGACGACATCACTGATATGGTAAATACCTGTGCCACATGCCAAACCCATAGGCCAGCCATATCCAAAGAATCACTGTTACATATAGATGTGTCAGCTGGTGTTTGGGTCACAGTGGGAACAGATACCTTTACCCTACTGGACAGAGACTATGTGGCTATATTAGATGCATACTGAAACTACCCAGAGGTAGAAATACTGACGGATGCCACATCCTACCCGGTCATACTGAAACACAAAGCGACTTTTGCCAGATTTGGGATTTCACAAGTAGTGAGGACTGACAATGGACCTCAACTTGTGAGCAGAGACGTCAAGCCTTGTGCAGATGCATATGATTTGAATATACAACTTCTAAATACCTGCAGGATAATGGGCTTGAAAATGGGGCATGAAATTTCAGAGTGTTTAGAATGTGGTAAGTCACCTGTAGAGCTTGTGCTATGATGTCAGGTACGAAATCAACTTCCTTAGCCTAAGATCAAACAGGGTGCAGCTAAAGAACAGAGGCACAGGTGCAGAAGGAACGAGAAAGATGAAGGCATAAAAATGTGCTATTATGACAAAACCGCGGTGCACCCGAGGGAACTACGCCCTGGAGAACCTGTTAACATTTGGAATAATGGTTCAGGGGGGGATAAGGCTGAGGTGATTTGTCTGGTTGCTCCAAGATCACACGAGATCAAAACAAGGATTTTTGTTGAGACAGAGCCATAAGCATCTCTTACTGGTACTGGTGATAAACGTCCCAGATGAGCTACCTCCACATACAGTGCAAAACCACCCACACACCAAACTAGGAACATCCTGATAGCAACACTGACACATACCAAAGTGATGGCACCTGCTGGGACTACAAGGGATGTGGACCTATCAGACACAAGATCATTGGATACCTGGGTCGGTTATCTAGGAAACACACCGCCATGACCACAGGAAACTGATGCTGTTCCAAGACTCCCAGCGGAGGTGAGAACACATTACGACACAATGGTAAAAAAAAACAAAAAAAAGACTCATTGAAAGCTACTGAGCAGCAGCAGAATCACGTCTCACCATTGTATGAACAATGAGGGTATTGTTTTATTTGTAGTTTTTTTTTTTTTTTTTTTAAAGGAAAGATGTGTGGAGTATGCTAATGAAGTTATGCATATGCATGGCAAGGGCACAAACCCAGGAATGGCAGTCAGACATCTTGCAGGAACTGGGAGCAAGGCAGAGCCAGGGTGCAGGGCAGTGACCAGCAGCCCAGCCACCACCAACAGTTGTTATGTTTCAAACGTGAAATAAGAATTCTTGGTACGACAGAGTGTACGTCTCAGAAAGCAGCAGAACAATACAGCCCGGAGAGGAGAATGGGACCTGAGCAACTACAGCTGCAGCTGCATTTCCCAATCAAAAAACGTTTTATTTTTGGCCTTCTGTTTTGTTTTCAGCCTCAGGTATTTTGGAATTCAAATTTCCACTGAAAAATAGAAATTTTCTGTGGAAAATTTAGATGCAGATGATTTTTTCCTATTTTTGCTGAAAATTTCCATGATGAAACCCAACTTTTCTACCAGCTCTAGGTCTGATGTTATAAACAGTGCTCATGGCTGCCCGGGGTAGGAGACTTGCCTGGTTTAGCTGGACGAGCATCTAGGTGGGGAGAAGAGAGGAAATGCTGGAAGTGACCCTCTGTTTCACTCTACAGCAGCCCCCGTGATACAGATTAGTGCAAGCTGCTTCCCTTCAGTGGAGATTGGGTTAATTAGGCTGAGAATAGATGCCTGTCACACTTGACAGGAATATAAACACATGGGACCTTGGGGGATGGTACAAAATATGGACTGGGCTCGAGTTCTTGAATGTGATGAGATATGGGGGAGTTTCCGTTTTCAGGACTATGAGGAGTGAGTGCCTGGAGAATCCAGCTGCCTGGGATGTGAAGGTTGCTCTAATGCTTCTTCATTAGGTTGCTAGAGCTCTTCAAGGCGATCGGTGGGGTCCCCTGCTGCAGAGAGAGAGAACATCAGTCACTAAACTTTTCTAGGATGCAGAAACAACAGCCTCCTCCTCAGCCCCACTGGTATTCCTGTGTGTGGGACCAAAGGGGAAGCTCCTCTCGATCCAGCCCCTGATGCGCTGTTCAGCTAGGGCAGTGGGAGGACAGGCCCCAGCAGTTCAGTCTGGGGAGCCTGCAAAGCCACGCCTGAGCTCTGCTCAGTAGCCAATTCCTTGTTGATGCCTTATGAGAATTTTTCATCTACATTATGAGTCACCCCTTCTCTTGGGTGTAACCCAGATGGGCATCTCTGGGTGAGCCCCTGCGGAGAACGCCAGTCACTGCAGAACAGCATGGATAGGGTTAAAAAAAAATCTCTTCCAATTTCATCAGTTCAGCAGAGTGGCTCCTTACCCCTGGCCCAGGGACAGGACACAATTAAAAGTTTGATGCTGCTTCAGAGTCAACTAAGTGCAAAAAAAAGCATCTGAAAATATATCTGAGTGCATGAAATTACCTCTCCGCTTCCAAACGCAGAGAACTCCCTAATGGCTGAAGCTGTCTGCTTCAAACTTTCACCCAAAATATGCATCCCAGCTAAGAACCACCCTGAGAGATGCCAGCCTAGCTCTTAGTCTTCCTAGTGTGTCAGTGCTGCAGCGCTAGGACATATACTGACAATTCTGGAAGTTCGTCCAACTTTATAATACAATCAACACCAAACAACAGAAAATCACGTACAGTTTAATAATTATTTCAAATATAATAATGTAATTTACTTCCTAGATTCTGCTTTCCTCCCATGTATTGTGATTTATATGCATTTGTATGCGTGTGTCATTGGGGCACTAGGTAAAGCTGATGTTCTGATCGAGAGCAATAATTCCTGAGTCTAGAGGCAAGATGGAAAAATAACAACTGCATTTCAGAAGAGCTGAGCACTAGAGAGGAACTTCTGGGATGTTCCTTAGAACTCCACCCCCTCGTCTCTCCACCACCAGGTGGGTTGAGTGACAGCTCACTAAGCCAATGAAACACCAAGTGGGAACTTAGCACAAACTCTCATTGAGGTGGGTGGCACATAGTTCTGAGGCCATTCAGAAAGACGCCTTTTCCGAATTCCCCCTTTCCTGGGTGTCAGAAGCCAGTTTCACATACATTGTAGAGCAGATCACTTGACGATTGCCTTGTTCTGTCAATTCCCTCTGAAGCACCTGGCCACTGTCGGAAGACAGGATACTGGGCTAGATGGACCTTTGGTCTGGCCCAGTATGGCTGTTCTTATGTTCTCATGAATAGTTCTCGCATATGTGGGAAATCCCAGCTGTTTTGCCCCCTTAACAATTCCTAATATATTCAGTACAGATTATTCTCCCTCAGCCTGGGCAGGCGGTCCCCACAGAGCCTACCCTGGAGCTCGGTCTTGCTCAAGGGTTAAACAATTCCAAGGCTGGGGCTTTCACCACTTCCCTTGGGAGACCTCGCCACTAGCCCTGATGGGAAAGGTTAGTTCCTATTCATCTTAACCTTGCCTTTGTGCAGGTCCATTGGGTGACTTCTTGTTATTCCTCCCCGAGCCCCACCTGGAAAGATCCCTCCCTTTGATAAGCTGGCAGCAGAGAGTTCAATTCCTGAGAGATTTATTTGCAGTCAGTTCACCCTGCTGTTGTCTCAGGTTTTCATAAGCCTCCAGGCTTGGAGAGGACCGATGCTGGGACCTGTGCTAACCCCCCTGGCCTATCACCCAGTGAGAGTTCAGCAGCCAATTGCATTTAAAAGCCAGCTCGGGAAATGTCCGGACAGTGCTTTCAGCAGGTCCCGGTGAGCACGGTGACCTGTTTCCTGCGCAGTACTTTGGACGGTCTGGATGGGGCCAAAGCTGTCACTGGGGGAGCCTTCGGTTACTTACGGGTGACTGTGCCTTGGAGTTGTTGAGGTGGGCGTACATCAATACTGCAATGTTGCTGTGACCGGCCTCCAGGGCGATGGCCACGGCATTGTTCCCATCCTAGGGAAGAAAAGGAAAAGGGTTCCTCAGAGAGCTCCCAGCAGGAGACTTGGTGTGACCATTTAAGTAACACAATACTCAATGTTCGGCGCTTCCAACGCCTTGGAACAGGCAGCAAATCACAAGGCCAACAGCCAGGGCCTGACAGGCTGGGCAAGTTACTGAACTTCTCTCCCAGGTAAAGGTCCGGGGCTGGAATAAAGGATGATGTGATGACATAGGAGACAGGTTCTAAATGAGAACTGGCATGGCTTTTAAAAAGCAGGGCCTGCCAGACCCACCTCCCCTCTTGCTTTTGGACTGGCCATGGAGTGCAGGTGCGATAGGGCCGGGTGAAACCTGCACAGCAATGCTTTCAGTCTGCTGTTGGCCCTCTAGTTGTGGGCTGTTTGTTTGAACGGGTTGGTGTTTCCATGTGCTTCCATGGGGCAGTTCTCTGGCCCGTGTTGTACAAATCAGACCGTGGGCCCTTCTGGCCTTGCAGTCTCGAAATGTCTGGGGCACAGCTGTTCTTTACCATACCTGGTTTCACTTGCAAACAAGGGCATGCGCTGTGCACTAGTCCCTGTTAGGCAGGCAGGCAGGCAGCAGAAACACCACCCGAGGCTGTAGATGATCAATCGGATGCCGTGTATGGTGACTAGTCCAAGTGGACGGTTTGTGAGCTCCCGACAGGCTGAGGTTTGTTCACATAAAGGGGTTAGTCAAACAATCCCTGAGCACAAATACACTGGGAAAAATCAAACTCTGTTTGTGGATAATTTGCAGGCCAAGAAAAGGTGAAAATCCCCAGGCAGGAGTGATTCACCCAGCTCTGTCATACAGGGAACTGGTGAGGTGGCAGCACATCGGCGTATGCAGCACAATGCAGCAGGGGTGAGAACCCAGCACTACGGTCCCTGGGGGTGAGTGGGGCAGGCAGTGACTTACGTTATCCACAATGGAGACGTCACAAGCTGGCTGGGCCAGGAGCAGCCTCACGGTCTCCAGTCGCCCGTGCTCGCAGGCGCACATCAGGGCTGTGGAGCCCTCCTCATCCTGCAGGTTGACGTCGGCTCCGCAGGCCAGCACGGCTTCAACCATCTCCTGCCTGCCATGGCTGACCGCCAGCATCAGCGCCGTCTGGCCAGCCTGCAAGCGAGAGGAGAGGTGAGGGGAGCCGCATGCAAGCAGACATGGAGAAGAGACATGGCACGGTCCCCTCCAGCTGGGAGAGGGGATATTAGTAACAGCTGGATGCTCTCCTAGACAGACAAGTGCCCAGGCCCCACAGACTCATACTAGGCCAGAGGGGGTAACGACTGCAGCGAGAGGACAGCGGCTACTCAGCCATGGCTCGTGTGCCCCACAGGGGGAGGAGGGATTCTCTCCACTTCCGCTGGATCTTCTCCCCCGAGGAGCTGCTCGGCTTTGCCCATCCCCCAAGTCTGCTGGCTACCCTCTTCCGCCCCAGTCCTGGTTCCCTCGAGGTCCCAGGCACTGAAAAGGGGCAGCTTCACACAGAAGGCAAATCTAAATAAGGAACATGCTTGGTCCTGCCAGCGACAGAGCACTGAGCACATGCAGGACAGAGGCACGGCCTGGGAGCTCCGCAGGGCTGAATCTGGGGGTCTAGAGTAGAGGTAACAGCTGCAGGGAGCAGCCCTGCTAGCACTGACCTGGCTCGCCTTGGCATTGACGTTTCCCATGCTGAAAAGTCTCCTGACAACATTCATGTCATCTTCGTGCTCCACCGACGCCAGAGCTGCCAGCATGAGGGCTGTGTAGCCGGCTTTATTCTGATGGTCGACGTTGCAAACCCCTGCAGAAAGAGAAGTGGGCCAGAGCAAACCCCAGCCGGCCAGAACGTTCAGCAGCAAACCTGCCCTCGGTTCTGCTTCCAAGAGCTCGTCTCCAGTCAAGGAGCTGGTGGTGCTGAGCTATTGCGCGCGGGGAGGTCTGGATTCTGGGTGGCCAGGCTCATTGTGCGGTGGATGCAGAGCACCTCTTGCGCTGGCACTGCTAGGCCAAGGCACAGTCACCAGACCGTCTGGCCCCCACCCTTCTCAGGCGCGGGGTCAGACCCACTCGCCGTGGGATGCTCTGCAGTTTGGAAAGGCCTTGTTCCCTTGATGTTGCCATATGGTACATGTTTGCTGGGCAGCCCCCTCCTCCACAGCTGCGGTCCTGCGGGGAACCCCTTGCTGGATTCCTGGGGCTGCAAAGGAGGTTTGACATGCTCTGTGCAGCACCGAGCCTTGAGCGGCTCCATGCAGGACTGGAGGATCTGCCGCTGCATGGAATCTCCTGTTCTGTTCCCCACTCTGCCACGGGTGGGCCACGTCAGGGCCCACGGAAGCTATTTCAGCTACCTGGGCTCATGACAAATGCCTAATGGCTGCACTGAACAGTGTTCTGCACAGGGACCCACTTTCACATGCCCCTGCAATGGCCACTGCCTGGGCTGCGTCTTGCTCTCTGAACGCAGGCGGCACCTTGGACTGCAGGTGGGGCATGAATGAGGGCAGCAAGCTCAGGCCCCTTGTCACAGCACAGACACCAAGACCCTGTCCATGTGTTTGTCACTGCACCCGCCCTGCGGTGCCCATGGGCAGCACTTCTGCATCAGAGTCTACCACTGCCGGAATCTGCTGGCAGAGGAACTGGGGACCCTGGAATGGATGCTGAGGGCAGGGAAATGCTTGTGTAGTAGGTTCATTTTCAGGCCTAATTCACTTGACATGTCTCTGTAACCCCAGGGCATGGGCCAGTGATGCATTCTACACCTGGAGCACAGGCTAGTTTCTTGGGCTAGAGCCTGGCCGCTAGGGGGCGCTAGGAGAGGGAGGCAGACTGGCCTCCTGTCGGGAGGAGGCGGTGGGTCAGGGCTCCCGGGTGGGTGTGTTTCATGGGAGGGCTCAGGATCAGCAGCCAAGAGGAGCTCGGGGACCAAGGTCTCTGCTCCCGTCCCCTAGTGCAGAACCCTCAGCTGAGCCATCCCCACTTCCGGGCTGGACCGGGTTACATCGCGCCCAGGGGTAAGCAGGAAGCACTTTGTGCTACTAACCCGTGTCCAGGAGCAGCTGCACGATCTGGAAGTTGGAGTGTGAGACGCTGTAGTGGAGAGCTGTGTTACCGTTCCCATCCGAGAGATTGACCACGTGGGCCAGCATCCCCGGAGAGACCTCCGCGAAGGCCAGGAGGTGGTTGGCAACCAGCTCTGGGACAGAGGACTTCTGGCTGGACACTCGGAACCACTCCTGGAGGAGAATGCTGCTACTGGACAGCTGGGGAAGGAGAAGCGCAGGCCTCAAGCTGGGAAATGCTTATCTAACATGCTCATTGGCCAAAGCCGTTGCTGCGCTCAACACTTCCTCTGCTAAGTTTCACCCTAACACGAAGCCCGGGGAGCCTGAGTTCCCATGAGCAGCTGCACTATCCCCAGCCAAGTCCTCCCATTGCCACAAATACAGAGCAGTGCAATTCCCTACACCTCCCCCCTCGATAACATGGCATGGATCCGAGCTGCACCAAGGCCCTGGATGACAGGCCAGTGCCGAACCCTCTGGACTGAAGCCTTACACATGGCGCTAGGCATTCCCTGGGCGGGGAGTGGACACGGACAGGAAGCCCCAGGAGGGAAGGCACAGATGTCTGGAGACATGGGTAGCAGGCAGCAGCTGGCTCTGTACTGGCCCTCAGGGCTTTCTCAGCATGCTGAGGGGATTGTGTATGCAGGGTAAGAGCAGCCCTGGATAAGTCCCCTGGGGTTCTGGGGATGCAGGGAGCACGGGCTGTTCGGCCTCCAATCTCTTAGGGTCTGTGATGCCTGGAATGTCAGGCTGAGCCCAGCTGGGAGGAAGGGTTAGTGACTCAGACCATGACTCCATGGTGATGGTCTCGTCTGACCTCCTGGTCTCCTGCCAGAGACCTGCCCAGAACAATTCCTTCTGCACTAGAGCAAAATACACCCCCACACCTCCCCAAAGGGGCGCTCCAGGGTGAGCAGGGTGTCCAGCGTGTGGCATGCAGGGGAAGGACTAGTCTTCCATTGTCCTGGCTCACACACCTTTTCCTTGCGCTCAGTGTGGCGGATTACGGGCTCTAGCCATGGGGCCAGGCAGGGCTGGTGTACAAGGGGTTGCAGAGGAGTTTGTGGATCCAGGCTCTGATGAGCTAACTGAAGCCTCTTTGGGGAGAATACCCCCGACTGCTGGTCTCCATCCCACCTAGGGCAAGCCCAGCCGTTTCACTTCTCGGCACCCCCTCCTACTCACCACCTCTTTGCTCTTCACGGCACTGGGATGGCTGAGGTGGTGCTTCACAATCATGCAGGCCTCTCTCATCCTTGGGCTCAGTTCAAACCTGTGAAAAGCAGTGGTGGGACGGAGCTGTCTGCAGTGTTACCCCAGAGAAGTTGGTGGCCTGCGGAACAGCAGGGGCAGGCCTCGAGCGGGCGCAGCTGCTGGCTAACAACCTGATCCCAGAGTTCCTGACGGGCATGTGCATAAACATCACGCAGGTGCAGCCAGGAGCTGCTTTTAAATCTCTGGCAGGACAGGCTGGGGGGGTTGCAGCAACTAAGTAAGTTGCTCATTAAAGCACAAAATGGGGGGGGGGGGGAATTCATCAGCAATAGACTCAAAGGATTGTTAGGAGAAAAGAAAACGATCCACATGCTGCTTCCATGCATGAGTGGAGACAGCCCTGAACCCTCCCTCGGTACGCCCTGGCACTACCTAGCAGATACATTTGTGGCTCCCCTTGCCAGCGGATCTCAGCACCTCACAAACATTCACAGATTCATCTGCTACTCCCCATTTTGAAGACAGGAAACCGAGGCACAGACAGGAGGGCCCATGGCTCCCCCAGGGAGCATGAAACGGAGCGAGGCATTGAACCAAAACGTCTGAGTCTAAGGCAAGTGCCAGAGCCACAAGATTATCCTTCCTCTTCTGCAGTAGGGACGCTCTCACCACTCAGGTGTTGGGCATGGGATTCTGACACATTAGACATTGGTAACAGCCAGAGACTGGATCCCAGAGTAAAGGCACGAATCTGATCTGGTGCAGCAGGGAGGGTCAGGCTAGAGGGGTCAAAGGGCCGATCTGGATTCCTGCCTTCCTAGGGGGTTGCCCTGGAAAAAGCCCCCATTATTTTCATCATTCAGAATCCCATTTGTGTTCTGCACAGGCCCAAAGGCTCCCGGACTGCAGTACTCGGGGAGCGTGCGTTTCAGTCTCTGCTTCCCAGGAGCTCCCAGAGAAATGATTACAGGCCCTAGCAAGCAGCAACATCGGAATGGAGGGACTGCCCAGCTGGGTTAGACCAGAGCTCCATCTAGTTCAGTGTCCCGTCTCCAACACTGGCCAGTCTCAGATGCAAAAACCCCACAGTGGGCAATTATGGTATAACATGGCCATAGCAGAAATTTCTTCCTAACCCATCATTTAGTGCATGGGTCGGCAACCTTTCAGAAGTGATGTGCCGAGTCTTCATGTATTCACTCTGATTTAAGGTTTCGCGGGCCAGTCATACATTTTAACGTTTTTAGAAGGTTTCTTTCTATACGTCTATAATATATAACTAAACTATTGTTGTATGTAAAGAAAATAAGGTTTTTAAAATGTTTAAGAAGCTTCATTTAAAATTAAATTAAAATGCAGAGCCCCCTGGACCGGCGGCCAGGACCCGGGCAGTGAGAGTGCCACTGAAAATCAGCTCGCGTGCCGCCTTTGGCACGCGTACCATAGGTTGCCTACCCCTGATTTAGTGGTTGGCTGATGCCCAAAGCATGGGGTTTTTTATCCATTCCAAGCTTTGTGGGTTTTTTAATCCTAGCCAATGTGGATGTTCTCATATAAATGTTGTACCTATTTTTTAACCCTGCTGGGCAATTGCCCTCAATTATATCCAGAGGCAGTGAATTCCACTGGCTAATCTTGTGTTGTGTAAAAAGGAAGTGTCCCTATTTCAGTTTTAAATTTTCTGCCTTGGAGGTGTCTTTGTTCTTGTTTCAGTAGTGCCCGATCCAGCTTTTCTGTACCATTCATTATTTCCTATACCCTTATCATGTTCCCTCTTATTTGTTTCCTGTCTAAATTACATATATCATGTACCTTGCCATTTATGAATGGTTTTCCAGTCATTCAGAAGGGCTGCACTGGGGAACACATGCTACCCCTTCTCAAAAGTACAGCAAGGCTCTCCTGGACACATGCTCCCGATTGCCCCTGGAGGCGTTATGGCTTTTCTTGCTAGGAGCTTCAGCAAAGGGCAGTGCACTTCCTTCCTCTGGCCCTAGGAGTGGGTGACTGCACCTTTAGCAAGCTGGGTGCACCTGCAGATCGAAGGCGGCTTTCTTTGTGCATGCGTCATCACAGATTTCAAATGGGCGGATTGCTAAACTGAAATCTGTTTTTTCCCCCAACAGAACAATGTCCCCAGAGTAGTTTGCACCCAGGCCTATTTTCAACCTTCCACTGTTTTAATGAAGCCCTGCTCAAAACACCAAGCAGGGAGAATTCCCTCCTGACCCCCCCATAACACAGATACAGCTGGCAGAATTTTGCTCCAATTTCCTGAAAGATTCACCTTCTAGCAGAGCCCAACCAGGGCCGATGCCAGCCCCCAAGGGGGAATGTTTTACAAAGCTAGGAGCAGGTGGAAATGGGGGTAGAATGCAAACTGTTTAGCAACCTTAGCTTCACTGGTTGCCACTAGTGATGGCTAACAGCGTCTGCTGGCAGCGCCCAGCTGGGAGATGCTGGCTTGCCCGTGGGGGTGGGGCTAGGATGAGTTTGAATGACCGATCTTTTTACTAGCCAATTCAGCTGAGATTAGGGCCGGTCGGATTTTTTAAACTCAATTATTTTTTCTGTCAAAAAAATACAATTCAAATGTTTCACCAAATGGGTCCAATTGTGGCCACAAAGAGTTGGAAACGAGATGAACGTGGTGGCTCTGTTTTGTCTTGTTCACTGGGGGAGGGAAGGAATTGTCTATGGCAAAATTAGAACGAAATCGTTTCTTTGGACATTTTTGCAGAAATAAAATTGGCTTTTTCGGCCAGGAGAGGGAGACGGCAGCTGGAACTGCTCCTGGCCTGAGACGTTTCTGTGGAAGGGGCTCTAGACAACTCCTCCTCCCTCCCCACTGGCTCCAGGGGGTTTGGGGCTGGAGTGCTCTCCAATAACTGGGCCTTTCTGACTAATTCCAGCCCTGGGGAGACTACCCTGCACTTACTTCTCCTTCACCTCGGTAGGGTCCAGAGCTGGTGCACTCTCTGTCCCCTGCTCCCCGTTTCTCTTCCTCTGCTCCGTGCCCGGCTCAGGACCCTCCACGCCGCTAGCAGTCTCACCCACGTTCGCACCGATCTCCTCGTCCCAGGTGTTTGCGTCGTCCTCCGCGTCGCTGTCAGAGCTGGTGGGTGAAATCTTCTCAGAGGAGCTGTCTTCACTGTCCTCCTCCTCCTCCTCCTCACTGGACGTGCTCTCGTACCTGCCGGGAGAGAGAGCAGGGTCAGGGCACTGCAGTGAGATCTGCCACCTTCTCCCATGATGCCCGTACTGTGCAGAGGGAGAGCTGGGGTGATGCTGCTCCCTGCCCCCAACACACACATTGCATGTTGCAATCATGGCAGCTTCTTGCCCTGTGGTGGGACTAGGATGCAGCCAGGTTTACAGAGATCTGCAAGTGCTGGAGCTTGCGCCCTGGCAAGAGATGGAACGAAGGGCACATACTCCCCATTCAGCACCCCCACGAACTGCAGGCTCTTCCTCCCGCCCTCGGCCTCGCTCTTCGGAAACCCGTCTCGCTTCTTCATGATCGACTTCAGGGCACCTGAGGAACCAGAGATGGGAAGTCACATGGTGGAAAGTCCTGCCTCTGGCACAGACACAGGGCCAGGGTCTCACTCCACCCACCCCAAGTTCCTGGAAAGGAGGCTGGGTGGGGCGGGAGGCTGGGGTTGGGAGCGCTGGGGGTGAGAACAGGCTGTTCCTGTCCAGCGCCTGCTGGGCTGGGGGATTCTCCGCTTGTCACTCCGTCTCCCGCCCCAAAGGCCTGGAATTTGTTCTACCTTCGTCTCACTAGAGAGTAACCAAGCACAGGGGAATCTGCTGCTCTGTCCATCTGGACACCCCGAGCTTCAGCAGAGCCACAGGCCCAGGCAGCGTCCTGCATGTACCGAGGAAGGCAGCTCTAACCCACAGCACTCGGGGCTCTAATTCTCAATGGCTGCCCAGGTGTGGGAGCTCCTAGCCGTGCCCAGGTCTTGTCCCCCCAAACACAAGCGCACAAGCCCTGCCCTCTTACCCCTCCCCCAACACAATGGCTCCACCTGTCCTGCTCCACACAAACACTGCGCTCCCCCTCCCCCAGCCTGAAGATCCTCAGTCACCCCACAAACCTCTGGGCTAATTCACTGGGGGGCTGGAAGCATGTGGTTACCAGAATTGCTGTCACATGACCTATGATGAGGTCATCTGCCCAGGTGCCTGATCAACACAGCCTCCTCTCAGGTTGGAAGTCTCCTCTCACTGACACTGCTGAGTAGTTCCATTGAAGTTAATGGGATGGTGTCAAACCGGTGTGAGTGAGTGGAGAACCAGGATCCTGGGGGGTCAGGCTCCAGCTAACTGCTTGAAAAGAAATGCAAATGGGCGTGTTCCGCCAGGGCCTGACAGGTGCGAGGCTTGTCAGCATGCAGCAGATGCTGGCGTAAGTGACTCACCAGCCCCAGGACTCAGAGGAGCGTTACTGTCCTTCTCCAGAGGCCTTTCCCGCGTTGCACTCACACACTCGTGCACCCCTTTCCTGGAGTCCTGGGGAATTAAACGTGACCCTTGCTCCACTTCCACTGTCCCTGTCCCTCCCTGAGGCATGGCTGTCTTAGTGCCACTGGCGACGCCAGACTCAGCAACGTCCACCTGGTTTCCACCTTCTCCGGCACCATTGGGGGTTTGTTTAGACTTATCACCAGCCACACCTTGATCTGTTTCTTCCATTGCTGCATCGATTCCTGCCTCTATATCAGCTTGGGTGTCCTTCTCTTCATACAGGGCTGGTGAATCTGGACCTACAGCAACTTCTCTACTTTCCAAATTGCAGTTGACTCCAATGCACAACATCTCTGGCGAGCAATCCACACCCTTATCGATCATTTCCAAGTGGCTGCCCACCCCCTGGCTCTGCATTGGTACTGCAGCCTCTGCATGTGCTTCTACCATCTGAGGCTTGGCCATTATTTCCTTATCTATCAAAGTTCTTGGCCTTCTGGAACAAACCTCTACTCTTAACTCCTCAAGCTCCTTAGTCGCGTCCTTCAAGTGGCCTTCCATCATGGCGATGACCTCTCTCTGGTGGCCAATCGTGTGCTGCAGCAGCTCCATTTCCTTCTCTGCTTCCGTCGGAAGCCCTAACAAGGACTCCACGACCCACACTGCAGCGTCCTTGGTCTCAGTCTCTTGGCCAACGGCAATCTCATGGCATGGCTTCTGAGATCGGTAGTAGAACACGGCCTCATTCATGTTCACCCCCTCGCCCACACCTACAGACTTACACGCTTTCTCCATGGCCTTTGCGGGGCGGGCAGCTGCCCTGCTGGCTCGCACGTTCCTGTCCGAAGCAGACAGTTTCTCAGTGAGTCTCCTTAACTCTGTGATTTTACTTGCTCGAGCCTTCACCGACTCCAGTTCCCTTTCCAGTTCCGCAGGAGCCTCCTGGCTTGCCCTGGCAACCTCTGCGCCGAGAGACCTGGGTGGAAAGCTGAAAACAGAAGCCTCGCTCGTTTCGGGCAGGGGTTGCTCCTGCAAACCCGCCATCAGCTTCTCCTTCTCCCGCTTCAGTTTGCAGATTTTCATTTCTAGGACTGGGATCGTCTTAACTTGTTCCTCCAGCTCTTTGAGTTGCTTGAGGGCAGCAGCCATCTGCTCCCGCACATGCTGCAGATGCGCTGGGCTGATGTTGGTGGCCGGGGTGCTCCTTCCGGAATTCAAAGGGCTCATTCTCATAGAGCCCATCAGAGACGGGCCAGGTGTGGCTTGGCTGTCCCCATTTCCATTCAAAGGGACAGCAGAGGAGGAGCGGGTCTGGTGAAAAGAAGTGGTACTGGAGACGGAGATCCATGTTTTAGAGGGACTGCTGGGTGGCCCAGTCATCTGGGCATCTCCACTACTCAGCAAATGGAGCTGCTCTAGCTCCAGCCTCCTACTTGTCTCTTGCAGGGTTTTCTCCACCCGGGGATTTCGCATGAGGGATTTGGGGGCAGGAGGTGGGAGGAGATTTATAACTGGAGTTGGAGACACAGGGTTGGAAGCCTGTTTGCTCAGGGGCTCTCTCATTTCTGAGGACCCAGACTGCGTTCTGATGCGTGGAGATAACAGGAGCATGTTCCTTCCATCCTCGCTGGCCGTGGATGCCAGAGACTCGGTGGAGGTCCATCCACTGGCGTGGCCGCTGGGGCTTCTCAGGGAACTGGGCTGCTGCTTGGGCCCTTTCACTTTCCGGTGCTTCGGCACCTTCTTGAGAGTTTGGCCACTCTCAATGTCATCGACATATTTCAGAAAATCGAGGTCTAGCAGGAAGCCATAGGGGGTTTCCACAGAGTAGGAGCTCTTCTCCCCATCGTCCTGATCTCTGTACAAGAAGGGGCCACCTAAATCTGCCAGGAAAGCCAAAAGGAAACCATTGGTACAGTCAAGAAAGACCTAAGTTCGTCAAACCCATCTCCTGTCCCTGTCTCCAGAGGTGCTGGAAGTAGGGGTGTGGGGGGTGCGGTAGCACCCCCTGGCTTGAAGCGGTTTCCATCATATACAGAGTTTACAGTTTGGTTCAGCTCTCAGCACCCCTGCCTGTCTCCATGTTCTCAGCTTTTCCTGCTGGATGCAGGGCAAGTGTTTGATGCCACAGAAAGTTCACGTAGGTGCCCAGACTGGACAAAAAGGCCTGGGGCTTTCTCACCTGGCAGAAGATGAGATGCAGGGGTCTGGAATAACCCCAAGTGCCCTCTGCTCTGAGCACCACTTGGAGCCTGCGGGGAAGCCTGGACCCATGTGAGTGTCACACCCAAATTTGAGGGTGAGGATTAATTCAGGGTCTTTAAGAGGGAGGTGAAGCAGCGGTCAGTCCATGGACAGAGGATGCTAAACTGGGGCATGTTCAGCAGGGACAGGGCCATGAGACAAAGTGACCTAGGGCCTGATCCAATGTCCATTGAGGGCAGCGGTGGCAATAGGCTTTGGATCAGGCCCAGAGAGAGGTTAGGAGTCTGCGCTTCATGAAAAGGCCTTCACTCTGGTGTTAAAGTAGAGGGGAGTAGCGGGGGGGGGAGGGGGGAGGTGCCCAGCTCCCCATCCCTGCCTGGTGCAGCTGCCAGTCAATTCAGGCGTATGGCTGAGCCCCGGAGCATCTGAAGGAAACCCTCCGTCATTAGTGTGAATGGACCGACAGCGAGAGTGTCTGAGCCCTGGGATCCCCTCTCCACTTGACTCAAGTGTGTGACCCTCCCACTGGATTAGCTCTGAATCCTCACTAGAATCCTGCTAGAGCTGGTTGGGAATTTTCTGTCACAGTGATTTTCTGACACAAAATGCAGTTTCCACAAAGTTGACATTTTCAGTAGGAAAATCTTGATTTTACCAAAAATTTTCAATTTTCCATCATTGATAAATCAAAATAAAATATTCCACTTTGTCTGCGTTTGACCCAAATCAGAATATTTTATTTTGTTGAACTGACTCAAAACAGATCATTTCAAATGTGTTCAATAAAACATTAAACTACATTTCCCTGAAGCACAGGGCCTTGTAGGAATTGTAGTTCAGCCCTGCCCCCTGCGTTAGAATCATAGAATATCAGGGTTAGAAGAGACCTCAGGAGGTCATCTAGTCCAACCCCCTGCTCAAAGCAGGACCAACCCCAACTAAATCATCCCAGCCAGGGCTTTGTCAAGCTGGGCCTTAAAAACCTCTAAGGATGGAGATTCCACCACCTCCCTAGGGAACCCAGTCCAGTGCTTCACCATCCTCCTAGTGAAATAGTGTTTCCTAATATCCAACCTAGACCTCCCCCACTGCAACTTGAGACCATTGCTCCTTGTTCTGTCATCTGCCACCACTGAGAACAGCCGAGCTCCATCCTCTTTGGAACCCCGCTTCAGGTAGATGAAGACTGCTATCAAATTCCCCCTCACTCTTCTCTTCTGCAGACTAAATAAGCCCAGTTCCCTCAGCCTCTCCTCCTAAATCATGTGCCCCAGCCCCCTGGTCATTTTCATTGCCCTCCCCTGGACTCTCTCCAATTTGTCCACATCCTTTCTGTAATGGGGGGACCAAAACTGGACACAATACTCCAGATGTGGCCTCACCACTTCCCTCAATCTGCTGGCAATGCTCCTATTAATACAGCCCAATATGCCATTGGCCCTCTTGTCAACAAGTGCACACTGCTGACTCATATCCAGCTTCTCATCCACTGAAATCCCCAGGTCCTTTTCTGCAGAACTGCTGCTTAGCCAGTGTGTCCCCAGCCTGTAGCGGTGCATGGGATTCTTCCTTCCTAAGTGCAGGACTCTGCATTCTCTCCTATGAGCCAAGCTCCCTGGAGGACTACATCTCCCATAATGCAGTGTAGATTTCCCTCAGCCCAAGCTGTGTGGTGCATCATGGGAGATGTAGTCTGGGAAGGGAGTCTGGTTCATAGGGAGAATGGGACTCCTGAGCTCCCATGAGGCAACGTACCACAACAGGTCCATGCAGTTTAACATTGAAATGACTGGAAAGAAGCATTTTGAGTCATTTCAACGAAGCAAACAGTGAGCATGGATTCACCAAGGGGAAGTCATGCCTGACTAACCTAATTGCCTTGTATGACAAGATAACTGGCTCTGTGGATGAGGGGAAAGCAGTGGATGTGTTATTCCTTGACTTTAGCAAAGCTTTTGATATGGTCTCCCACAGTATTCTTGCCAACAAGTTAAAGAAGTATGGGCTGGATGAATGGACTGTAAGGTGGATAGAAAGCTGGCTAGATCATCGGGCTCAATGGGTAGTGATCAATGGCTGCATGTCTAGTTGGCAGCTGGTATCAAGCAGAGTGCCCCAAGGGTCAGTCCTGGGCCGGTTTTGTTCAATATCTTCATTAATGATCTGGAGGATGGTGTGGACTGCACCCTCAGCAAGTTTGCAGATGACACTAAACTGGGGGGAGAGGTAGATACGCTGGAGGGTAGGGACAGGATACAGAGGGACCTAGACAAATTAGAGGATTGGGCCAAAAGAAATCTGATGAGGTTCAACAAGGACAAGTGCAGAGTCCTGCACTTAGGACTGAAGAATCCCATGCACAGCTACAGACTAGGGACCAAATGGCTAGGCAGCAGTTCTGCAGACAAGGACCTAGGGGTTACATTGGACGAGAAGCTGGATATGAGTCAACAGTGTGCCCTTGTTGCCAAGAAGGCTAACAGCATTTTGGGCTGTATAAGTAGGGGCATTGCCAGCAGATCAAGGGACGTGATCATTCCCCTCTATTCAACATTGGTGAGGCCTCATCAGGAGTACTGTGTCCAGTTTTGGGCCCCACACTACAAGAAGGATGTGGAAAAATTGGAAAGAGTCCAGCGGAAGGCAACAAAAATGATTAGGGGACTGGAGCCCATGACTTACGAGGAGAGGCTGAGGGAACTGGGATTATTTAGTCTGCAGAAGAGAAGAATGAGGGGGGATTTGATAGCTGCCTTCAACTACCTGAAAGGGGATTCCAAAGAGAATGGATCTAGACTGTTCTCAGTGGTACCAGATGACAGAACAAGGAGGAATGGTCTCAAGTTGCAGTGCGGGAGGTTTAGGTTGGATATTAGGAAAAACTTTTTCTCTAGGAGGGTGGTGAAGCACTGGAATGCATTACCTAGGGTGGTGGAATCTCCTTCCTTAGAGGTTTTTAAGGTCAGGCTTGACAAAGCCCTGGCTGGGATGATTTAGTTGGGGATTGGTCCTGCTTTGAGCAGGGGGTTGGACTAGATGACCTCCTGAGGTCCCTTCCAACCCTGATATTCTATGAAAGGTTTCAACATTTCCAAATAGAAATTTCTCAGACTTTCCATTTTATGAAAAAGTTCTACATTTCCACTTTTCATCCCAATTTGTGTGAAAAGAAACGTTGACATACAGGAATTTCCTGCCGGGTGGAAATGCTGGGTTTTGCTCAGCTCTACCAACAGCCCACAGAGAGATACGGCTGCAGCCAGGGCCAGCCTTACATAGGGGCGAACTGGGAGAAAGCCCAGGGCACCGTTATAAACGGGGCGCCTCCAGAGCAGGGGTGCCCCTCCCCCTGCTGGTGCCTGCAGTCCTACGGCTCTGCCCCCTGCCTTGGAGCCGCCCCTGGCCAGCTGCTCCTAGGAGCTTCCTGCCTGCTGTGTGTGTGTGGGGGGGTGCTGATGTCATGGTGTCCCCTGCCCTCC